CGCCTATGGCCGTTGAATTTTCACGAAAACAAAAAAAGGTTTTTCGGTTCAAGATGCCGGATAAAATGGAGAATTTGATATAGGTACACTTGATATTACGGTTACATCTCAGCGGCCACGACTTTGCAGTAGTTTTTTTTTTTTCTACTATAAAGCCTACCCTTATACCAGTCCTCATACGAGGCGGACTTTTAACTAACAAGTTAGCTGATCACGGATTAGAAGTAGCAATGTTCAGAACTAGACAATCATGCCTAACACGCACAAAGAACATCTCGGAATGACTAAAGTTTTGTAAAATATTTCTACCAAGAGAATCGCTCGGTTGGTAATCACATCACGAAAAATATCAAATTTCAAGGTTACTTATAGAATGACCACCCGGTGGTACACAACGTTGGCAAAAGCAAGTGGAGAAGTTGCCAGCTGCACAGATGGACAAGCATTTATGAAAAGCAGGTGTAAAATGAAGAACCTTGAACTAATTCAGCAAAAGCTTTTTTTTAGCAGCAACCACCAGCTACAAGGCTTTTGCTGATTTTCATGCATTATTCAAAAACAAGCAGTTCTGCCTCTGCAACATTCGTCAGTGCCGATTTACTACAAAAGCGAATCAAAAGAATGCAGGAAGAGAGGTTAGTTATATATAAAAGCAGACATACCAAAGCTTCTAAGGGTGCGGCGACAGTGACGATATTGAAAATGACGCAGCACAGCCCTAATCGAGCACGAATCATTTCCAAGGATGAGCCGCTATAATGCACATAGTAATGGACGGCCATCAAAAAAAGCACTTCCAACAGAACGATCCTCAGACAGCGCTTCTAAACAAAAAATACTAACAAATTTTTGTTGTTTCGAGAACAGTCATGAAAATTGTTCAATGAAGAGTAAGACTTACCTTCGTTGCGAGTGGTCCCATCAAAAAATAATAAAATAAATAAAACGTATAAAGTGATGCAGCCACCGAATTCACAAATATTACAGTCTGAAACACAGGCACAAACAAAAATATAACAGCCAAATCGTCATGCACCCCCCTGCAGAAGAAGGTTAAAACTTGTGAAACCGATAAAAGGAGGGCCAAAAGCAAATTCGTTCAACGACCAGACAAACAACGAAGGAAATCTGACACAAATGCCATTTCTGTTCAGAACTGCGAAATAAATCAGTGGAGGAAACAGAGCCAGAAAATAACTGGCACGTCAACCGCTAAATCATGCTTTTTTTTACACAGCAATCAAGCAGAAGCTTAAGTGTGCTACAGTCAAAGACCGTTAAACAGGGAAAAGTATGCTAAATGAATATGAGCATTTTGTCTGATTCATTAGCTGCATTCTCTGGAGACGCGTGCACACAACGTAACCCTTAGACAGTGGAAAATAACAGCGAATAGCAAGGGGCAATTCCAAAGAATCTCTCAATGCAACTGAAACCACGCTTCCAGGTGCACTAGCTCTTCCAGTAGACTATTTTATGCCTCATCAGTTCACTACTGCTCTATAATATGTTGAATTTGTTGCTGACAAAAGCGTACCTTATCCTGCCTTAGCAGACCGTACTGCAGCCAAAGCTGCCCTGAAACAAAACCCATATGAAACGGTGCCGAACTGATGCCATCCGTTGTTCCTTGAATCTGAATATATCAGTGCAATAAAACAAGCAATATTAACAAATTCAGCAAACACACATCAAAGCAATTGTCACTAGCACTGAAGAACAGCACAGGCTAAGATCTCATGAAAAAAATTAAGATTTCTCATAAATCAAGAACAGAGCTTCGCTCCCAACTTCTAAAACCAGAGCAAATCGCAACCCAATAAGAGCAAAATCAAACACCTTTATCCGCCAGCAAATCTCGAAACCCGTCAAGAAGAGGCAC